TTTATTTGTTCATTTTTTTTTTTTTTAATAATCGATTTTTGCCTTCAAGAATCGATTCAGTAGATCACAAAAATTAGAATCACGATTCATCGATTTTACGATTATTTTGCACACCCTTAATTGTGGGTATTTAAAAGTTTTTACCTCAAACCATATTTTCACTTCCAGCCTCTACAAACAGCAATGGGAGAACCCCGACAGCCTGGCCAGCTACAGAGACCTTTGGCTGGGGAGGCCCAAGCTGCCCCCTTGCATATCTGCTGCTCCGAACAAGAACCAGATTTTTTAGTAAGATCATAATCTTGATGAACTTACTGCACATGGGATGTTTGGAGGTGGACTTTCTCACTTAAAAACTTGTTAAAACAATTTTTCCACCTCATCAAAGTAAATAAAGCTAAGCTGCTCTCAAGCTTGTAACAACAGAACAGAGCAGATAAGCAACAAGTGCGTCGAAGCGTCAAAGCATCTTGACCAGCGCTTGACCCAGTGTCCCAAGTTTTGGCTTTTAAGTGTATTTGACGTCCAAAACGCATGCGGTGTTAACGCACCATTAGAACTTTTTTTTACTATTTCTAATAAAGTTCAATAACTTCTGTATTTATGCATATCCATTTTGCAAAAGCACATCGATTTGACTATTTTACCACCTGAACAGGGTTTGTACTATGGTACTTAAGAAAAAAGCAAATCAGCTTCTATCTACAAATAGTGTTCAACTGAATGGTCTTTTCTGACCAGCTAACCAACCTTCACATGTTTAATGTCACCTACGTAGCTTGTAACAACTGCAAATTCTCATGGCTTTCAATTTAGGTGGACGAGCACATTCTGATAAGTTTGCAGACCCTAAACCTGCTTTAAATATCACTGCAACTATTATATCAGACTTGCCTGGCTTTTTTATTGGATCTTTCTAATAATATTTGCTCACTTAGCCATCTGAGGCCCTTACAGAGTTATTATACTGAGGTTAAACTACATACAGGTAAAGGCTTAATTCCTACTGAGGAAAGTTGCAGGCAGTTATTTACAATGACTTTTGTTATTAAGGGATGTCAAAGTAAAGGAGGACAAAAATAGACAAAGTGCTTTAGATTTTTCCTTCCAATTCACAGTTATTTATTACTTGGTGTAGATCTATAACAAAGCAATCCCTATGGCTTATATTGAGGTCTCTCACAGCAACATGGCAAAATATGACAAAGTTCAAATTGTTTTTAGAATTTTGCAAGGACCCTTATCCAGAGATCAGAGATTAAAAGGGAATGTTACCTTGCAGGTTTTTTCCCCCCTTGCTTTGTTTCATGGCTACTGTGAAAAGAGATTAGAGCTTATCCTATATGTGGTTGACTAGAGCCAGACTAGCAAGAACGCCAATAAGAACTTTCCTCATATAAACACAAAAAAAAATTTTATTTTGGTTTTTGAAACAAGAAATGAGCTTAATTTCTCATCTGTATTCATCTTTTGAGAAGCTGGTGCTTAACTTAAATTATTTTATCCGGTGTTTGCAAGATTTTAAAGTCAGTGCAGCAACAACAATAATGATGTTCATCAATAAGGGTTATTTGGAGGTTTACAGATGGGAGGGGGGGAGCAGCGACTACAAAGAGGGGGGCTAGGGAGCCAAATGGTGCAGTCTGGGGTTGGGGGGTTAAGTAGAGCTGAAAGAACAGGGGGAAGGGTAAGGGTGAGAGGACAGGGGTGTCAGGGAAGCGGATAATGCCATTTGGGTCATAGAGCTGGTGTGAATCTGCCCATAGATTTAAATTGAAATTTTAAACATCTTCAGGTGGCGTGAAAGATAAGAGCGAAGGATTTGGGATGGGTCTCGTAATTACTGCTCAGGTTAAACCATTTTAGTTCATACATTATTCAGAAGATCAACTTGTATGTAATCGGCACCCTTTATTCAGACGCATGGAAATGTCCTCGAGGGAATAAACTAACCTTTAAAACAGCTGAGCTGCACTCAGAATAACAATGCCAAAAGGAAGAGATCAGAATCAATAAAATCTGGCTAACAAAAATCAGGCACTTTTTTCATTAGCTCTGAAACAGAATGTTTAAACATTTTCATTTTGTTTTACTTCCATGAATCCTTCAGCGTATTTTATTGCAGGAGGAAGCACATGGTGGAAAACACAGACAAAATACACCCATGCTTTCCTAATAACGTCAGGAATGTTTTATCTTCATAAAGCATTTTCTAGAAAGCTAATGGAACACGGTCATTGCAAGCTGGCCTATCTGACAACAGTTTAAACAATGTGTCAGTGTCCTGAATGCGATGTCAATGCGGGCTATTACTATGAGTCATTTCATTAGAAATCTCAAACTAACTGACTGTGTGGGCCATTACGCTGTTGAAACAGACTCCCGGCTGATGTGACAGTCATGAGAGGCCAGCTGAGAAGAGTTAACACTGACACCACAGGGATGATGGCGCTCCATAATGACCCTGTTAGCGTGGATTCAGGAAACGAGCCATCACAACAACTGAGGGCTCCGTTTCACCCTGGGCATGGGACCCCGTCAACAAAAAAACATACAAAAGTTTCTCAGTGTCATAGTAATTTCACAAAAATGTAAATAAAGAACGACATTTATCCCTACTGCTGCTAAAATAATGCAGTATTACACCGATAATAAAGCTTACTATATAGAATATTAAGACTTTCTCACATATTAGCAGCTCAGCTAGTTGGGATGTCAGTTCCAGAAGCCAGTTATGTGTTTGGTCATAGCTTACTTCTTTAACACCAATTAGATGGATTGATAAGCCGTCATTGTGTATTTTCCGCAGAGTGACTTTTGTTCCAACCGAATATATTTTTCAAATAACCAAATTTCTCCTGCTCTAAAGGTAAGATGAAGGATCTCCCTTTCAGCCAGGAGACAGGCAGTGCATAGCAACATTTTAAAGAATGGCAGATCTCTGTTACTGTTCCATGCAACTTGAGTAAACTCCTGTCACTTTGGCGTTTTCTATGGCATTTAATTTGAAGCAATTAAATCACAGGAAGTGCATGAGACAAACAATCTATTTTAGGACCCTAGGGTATGTGGATACGCTGAGGTAAGCAGTGCCTATTATACAAAGTATTAACATTTTAAATGAAAAAAAAAAAAAAAAAACGTAAACAACATGTGAACTAATCCTAGATTAAACTATACAAAATGCCCAGGATCCCATACAGTGTTATTTATATATTTATATATAAACAACTTAATCCCAGTTTAAATGTTTCGACTAGGCTTGAAATGGTGATAACCACTTCTAGGACTAAGTCCTATGGAGCTGGGTCATGAGCTGCAACACTGACCTCCTGCTGAGCCATTGTTTATGGTTGTTGTGTAATAATCTACCACACATCCTTCTGGTCCAGATACTTTCACTATTTCATTAAAACCTTATTATTATTTGTCTACACATTCTATCTATCTATCTATCTATCTATCTATCTATCTATCTATCTATCTATCTATCTATCTATCTATCTATCTATCTATCTATCTATCTATCCTTTTATATAGCATATATTTATATCTGCTTTTTTCTGTTTTTATCAGGAGCTTTGTGATAATGCACACAAGCATGCATGGTGAATGTGCAGTTGAACAACATAAAAATCTGTCTAATGTAATTTAGCATTTTAATTTAAGGTTGTCGTGTTATAAGACTCCCATACCTCCCCCTAGCAGTCAGCCGCAGATAGGGTCTAAGATTAAAGTATTTTTAGTTGCGTGTGCCTCAATAAATTTTTTGTTAATCACTCGCTGGCATAATACTCAACGTTTTGGTTTACAAAGTCTGTAAATCACATGCTTATGTAACTTATCTCTTGGGCTTATCCCTTGATTTAGTGTCCAGCTTGAGATTTTCAGCACGCAGGCCAACATTTACATTTTCAAAAAGTATTTTTTTTTCCTATCGGCAACTTCACACCAGGACCCTAATACCGTCACACCAGGGATTTCACCATGAAACGTCTTACCACAGGACTCAGGCTTTCCCTCTGCAAGCACACTGCTGTTGCCACTCGTCTCCACCACCAGAGCTTCTGCTCACAGCCCCCAACAGACAGCACAGCAGCACACAAAAACGTAAAAAAAATAAACAACAACCAACACATAAAAAGGAAACACAACAAAGGAGAGAAAAAAAAATGATGAGGAAGAAACAATGATGGAAGAAGAAAAAAAACTAAATGAGCAAAAGGGCAGTTAAAAAAAACAATCAGTTTGAATTGAAGAGACAAGTCACTAAAGGGTTTCCTTTTGAAAATATAAAAGTCTACATCTGTGCGATGTAGAATCCACTGCCCATTACTACAGGTCATAAACATCCAAAAATCATGATCAACAAACTTAAATCAAGAGAACAGTTCATGCAACATGCAGAAACAACAAAGACATGAGGAAACCAACAGCATGCAAACATGCTACGACATTTTTTTTAAATGAACAGTGTCCTTAAATAAAGGGGAAAATGTTGATGTAAATGTCATATAGCTTTAACCCTCCTTGCCCATAGTGGATTATATTCAATAATCATATCATTTCAGATGTAAAGAAAAAAAATGATTTGCAGTGACACAAAATAAAACCCAGTGGTTATGTTGAGACATACTTGTATGGCTGCATCATACAGAGATAAGCTGCCATGCACTACAGAGGATTTTCTTTTTTGTTTTGAAAACAGAGGTTTTAATCATATCTTTCAATGTGCTGCGCTGATTGCTGTCAAAGTCACCATGTCATGTGCTGGAACCTCAACAGTCTTACCCTGCAAATATGTGGGGTGTGAGTTTGGAGGAGACATAGAGGTTTTTCTGTGTCCTTCACATACAGTGGGATGAAAATATTTTTACCTCAAAGAATTTCTTATATATTTTTTTAGATTTGGCAACAAGCCCCGAGCCTTTCACTTTACTATGGGACATCGACATGTGACGGGGAAGCTGGAATCAAAACCCAGTAATTTTGAAAGATTACTAATATTCTCACTGGCCACAGTCACCAAGTCATACATCACTTCAATGATAAGGTTGAACAAACTCTTCATAAGAAGATCTGTTAAAGTATCATTTCTGCAAGGTCACCTATTATTCGAAACTTCAAATAAATAGATTGAAATAAGATATAAGTAATTTATTTTATTGAGTGTATGAGGTATTGTCTCTAAATAACTATCACAAATAAATAATTTATATTTTCAGCAGGTTCAAATATTGCACTTTGTCCAAATACAAGCTTAAGTTTTTTTCATGATTTTGTCCCTAAAACTTTTCAAATAATTATAATTTTGACTTAACTGGAGCCCTTTTTGTGGGACTTTACATGTTTCTCTTAACTCCAAGTATAAGCTTACACAAAGTGATTAAAGCATAAGTCCTGTTTAACCATGCATTCTTTCAAATGGTTAACAACATATTTTACTCAACAGGCTTGTGCCTGTTAGAGAGAGGAAAAGCTGGGACTGAGAGGAACACTCAGAGGCAGTCACAAGACCTGAGACTGTAGAAGAGCAAAGCCTGAAAATCAGACTAAAGTTACCTGTAGGGTCAAACTCATTGGAGGGAAGTGAGGTTTTGTCGCTTTTAGGTTTCTTGTCTGGGGGATGGTCCTTACTGAGAATGCTGCTGGTTCTGAGGAGAGATCGACATTGTGTGAGAAACAATTTAAGAACAAGAAAAATGTTCTACAAAAAAAGTATTGATGTGCATTCAGCCTCCTTTAATCTGACACTCATAAATAAACTCAAATACAACCTACTGTTGTATTTGAAAAGAACAGAGTATTATTTAGAGAAGTAGTCAAGAGGCACATGATAACACTGGAGGAGCTATAAACACACTGATCAGTTAAACCAAGCGATGATGTAGAACCATCTATTTCTTGTGCAATCTGAAATCCTCAAGAAGACTGCAATTTTAAAAGGATTAACTAGCTTGGTTTTTATATTTATTAAGCAATAAAACATGTAATGTGTGTATACAGATACTATGGTCTGCTCTTTCTTGGCTTGCATGCAATGTGCTACGCGTGATGGCAAACATACTATACATCAATCCCCCCACATTGAAACATGGTAGATGCAGGATCATGCTGTGGGTATGTTTGTCTTCGTGATATTGTATTTTCTTCATATCATCCAGCCCTAGTAGAAATAAACCCAATAATATTTGCAGTTGAAAATGCAGGTAAAGATGTTGGGTAGAATAGATAATTATGCAACCAACGCTCAGGTTATTATTTGTGAAGAAAACAGCCTGGAAACCATTTGTCAATTTCATTCAATGTCACAATCATGCACTATCATTGTTTGGCTCTATCACATGAAATTTTCATCAGATAAAGTAAACTTTGTGGCTGAAACATGACATGTATGTACATATATCTGTGCTAATATCCTGGATAGGCACGAAAGTCAGGCAAGTGCATAACGGTTGTTCAATTCAGTGCAAAGAATGGTGTTACTCAAAGACTCTCCAGTGAATGAAGTGTCTACTGTATAATGTAAGAGTCAGGGAGGATGTGGAGCAACTCTGCTGAGAGCCCAGAAAAGAGCCCCACATAAAAGACATCCTAGTGCAGAGATGCCATGGGACGAGTCTCCTGCTTGAACCATCTGAAGCCATGTATGGGTGGTTCTGCCTATGCTGGCCCCAACTGTGAAAGGCCACTGTTCACAATGTAAAGCAGTTATGGGCTGCCCATAGAAGAGGGACCCCTTTGTCCTGTGTGTGCATGCATTCATGAATGAGTGGGGGGTTGGTGGGGTGCGTTAGGTCTAAATGTTGAAGACTTCTATGTTTTACCACAGCAGGCAAAGTAAAAATGTTCTCTCATCTGAAGCTCTCTGTTTACACTAGTGGGTATAAGTGTTTAGGCAGACAACGCTGTCAAAAACATTCACATATCGATAAGAAGGTTTATTAAAAATCTTACCTTATTGCTTTCTTGGTAAACCTGTAAAGTAAATAGAACAATAATTAGACTTGTAACCTAAAAAAAACAAACAAATGACGAGCTATCTGAGCTGAGATAGGGGATATAAAAACCAAGACGGCATTCACATTTACTCTAAAGGGTCATACAGTGGTAAACATGATAATCCTGATCAAACATCAGAGTTCTTCAGCTGCAGATTAAAACCTTTCCAGGTCAAATCTCCTCTGCCTTTCAGATTTTTGCTTTGTGTGCGGCTGTTGCACTTTAATTCCTTGAAGGCACCCAAAATTCATTACAGTAAGCAGCAAGGGGTTTATACATGGACCGACAAAGCACTGAGCAAAAGGGAGAGATGGGCTTTTTGAAAGAATATACATAAATAAAACATGTATTCATTTAATAATACATTTATCTACAAAATAGAGTAGACTGGGATTTTTTTAAAGAATGACAGTTAAAAATCGAAATATTACTCGAAAAAAATAATCCCTTGATGCTACATAGGACAAGAACCTTAATCTCTATGCCTTCACAAACACTAAACTCTGTAGTTCAGTTAATTCAGATTCATTTTTACACTAAGGTTACCTGATTTTGATAAATAAATTGGACCTTAAACACTACAGAACAGCCATAGTTCAGGGAAGATAAAAAGAGTGGTACATATCCGAGGGCTTTTTTCTGGGGTGGATTTATCTCTGGTAATCTGATTTGACTCTTGTTCCTGGAGTTGAAGTGGTAAACATTTGACCAGTGTTGTATAGTAATGAAGTAAAAATACTTCACTACTGTACTTAAGTATATTTTGGAGTGCTTTACTTTCCAAGATTATACATTTTTTTTTAACTTTCACTTTTACTTCACTACATTTACAAACTTAATTGCATACTTTTACTCCGATCCATTTTTAATGTTTGGTTTAGTTACTAAGTAAAAAAAAAAAAAAAGACACACACAAGCCATTTCAGATACTTTAAGACTTTTACTCAAGTAACATTTCAGTCAGTGACTTGGACTTTTACCAAAGTAATATTTTGGAGAGGTACTTATACTTTTACTTGACTCCGAGATTTCAGTACTTTATACAACACTGCATTTGACACCAACAAACAGTGTGTGGTGTAGCAGAGCAGCTCAATATATTAGGGATGCACGATATAATC